AAATTTAAAGAAAACAAACAAAAAAAGCCGCACCAATCCTAGTGGCTGGAACATGGCACCCTGCTTTAGAGCGATAAGGGTATCTGGAAAGCATATGTGTGCATTTGAAGCCACCACACCCAGCTTGCCCCAGAAACTCTGGCACCTTTGTTATGGCACGGACTTGCTCCCATGCACTGCTAGTCACGGCCCAGTTATGGGTGTACAAATATGACCATGCTATGAAGCTTTATAATCATTGTTCACAAGCAGTAGCCTTTTAATATTGAACTTGCCCACTGTTTACCTTTTAAAATAACAGAAAGCCCAAACGAGGTAACTTCACAACTGCAGCAAGGCTAACGACGTGCTGTAGGGTCTTACGAATTTAGGGAGCGGTTGTTTCGATTATTTTGCATATCCACCTTTTACCTCACTGCCCCAAAGAGATAACATTTACTGCAAGGAAAATTTAAAATCTTTGTGCTAAGAAGACTTTGCCTCTAGTCAGGAGTCACCCTAGCATTAAAAGGATTGTCGTGCTGTTAAGCCAGTACTTGCCTAGAAAGTTCAGAGCTGCAAAATCGGGAGACTGGGTCAATTAACCACAGTTTACAGCACATGCATGACACTGCCAAGCATTTTGATGCCCTCAAACTGCAGGAGGACTGCATCTAACTCTAAATTTGTAATTTGATGTTACTGCAGTTAAACCTTCTCCTCTGCCAGAACATCAATCTAACTGGGCTTAATCCTGTCCACAGGCTTTGGATCCAGCCACAGGTTTGCTCAGACATGCAGCTCCACTGGAGGAGTCTGCAGGCTGCCACATAACTGTAAGGTTGGGAGAGGACTGAGCTCGGCCTCATTGAAGAGCAAATACAGCTGAGATTGGATACCACGTCACCAAAACAGACCTAAAGGTTGTTTAAAGAAAGGCTGGCATTTTCCTTACTCAGAGGAAATATAAACTTCTAGAGCACCAGACAGGAAACTCGGGAAGACCTTGACAGTTGAGAAGAAAACATGACTAATAATTTCATGTTATTGACTTATAATTACTATAAGCCTATGACACATCATACACGACCGCTTTTTTCTCTTGCCCAAAGCACAAAAGGCCTCTGGCATAAAGCATATACACACCACGCTAACATACACCGCCTGCACCTGACCACACACACAGAAGGAAAGGATGTACGCATATAATTAAGAGATTTCAGAGAAAAGCAAGAGATTACCAGTTATTTGTAGCCAGCATCTCCTCAAACTGAGCATAAAATACATAAGATCAGTGATGATAAATGTGCAAACAAAAAATGACAGTATCAAAGCAACACACACATCATTTTTCACCTGCAGGTAAAAATCACCCCCATTGCAACCCTTCATAAAATGACACATCTCCAGTCTTCCTTTCAAATGGGCAATTAGGTTTCTGGCAATAGCTGCACAATGGCCCAGCCATGATACTAAGTACTGGCATTTTAAGGCTGCTGAAATATACTCTGCCTCAGAAGTAACAAGGCTCATAAAAAATCTGATTGTATGTGATCAGAACGTGCCAGACTGTCTTCTACAGCACCTGCAGGAAAAATGTCAAGGGCAACAGAGCCACCCTTCCCAAAGCTCCTCCTAATTTAATAGCAGTGTGTTCACAGAGAGTTTTTCAGAGACAACTCCTAATCTAGGCACCGGCATGCCAGACTCTGGCTGCAGCAAGGACGTCAAACTTAAGCGCTGTGGCGTTGGCACTGTTGCTCCATACACCTGCGGTGAGGTGTACGTGTCTGTCCCTGAAAGGTATCACTAGCCACTGGCACAATGCACTGACAACAAACCCCATAATTTTCAGGTTACAGTGGCTGTCAAAAACCCATGTTGTTTTCTGTACAAGGAATATCAAATGGGGTTTTGTCCCTCGCAGTACCCCCTGCATACGCTCCTCTACGATCTAGTTTCACTGCTGTTCCGGACAAAACCTCTTGGCCCTAGGGACCTGCCATCTTGGGCTAGGGTTGGCATTGCCACCTCATATTTATCACGGTAAATTAATAAATCCAGTCGCATTTCAAATTCGTAGGCTGTGGTGAGCCCCTCTACACTATGCTGCGACACGTAACA